TCTCCTGGCTGGACTGGGAGCTCCCTAAGAATAAGAACTCTTTTTTTTTGGGCGGGGGGATGGCGAGGAGGAAGTCAACACCGTCTAGATTTTGTTTGGAATACAGATACAAATACAGATACAAATACAGAAGTTATTTCTATGGTGCATGGCTTCATAACTTGAGCTGGACATAAAATACTATAATAAATACGTATTACATAACAATAAAATAATCAAATCTGATTTTTATTGAGCATTTATTTACCTTGTGCAAGACCTGTGCTAAGCACTATCAACGTAACATTATTTAGTATGACAACTTATTTAATTAATTACCTATAAGCTGGGAAATAAGGACTAACACATAGCATCACTTTCAGTGAGCTACGCTATAACCCGATACTGTCACTGTGTAACTAGGAAATTGCATTGTCAGTTGCTCTGTTTAACACATAACAACACAGGGTGGTAAAGGTGATTGGAAGTGCCAATCAATAATGGTTGTTTAGTTGGACTGGGAAAAAAAAAAGCCCATCTGTTGAATAAAAACTAGATGTAAAAAAAAATCTGTATTTGCTCAGTGACTTGAGTTTTACAGCTAAAAATTTAAAGCTATTGTGGGGAAGAAGTTCTTGTAGGCAAATAAACACCACAATTCTTTATCTCCAAATTATTTAATTCCTACCGGGGAAATGAGATACTTATTAGGGGTGCAATGATTCCATCAGAGTAGACCTAACTTTGTCTTTTTAAAAAGCTCTATTTTAAAATTCCGCCTTCCTCTTCCTCTCCTCTGATGGGCTCTGAGTTCTGTGCTGGCAGGCCCCGCCCTCTCCTTCCTTCCTGGCTGTGCACTCAGTCAGCAGAGGGCATGCCATGCCGCACAGGAGCTCTAAGAATGAATGAGGTATTGACAGGGTAGAAAAAAAATCCCATTAAATCTAAAGTGTTTTAATGGTTTACTGCCAAAACCATAAACTGAGGGCCCGAAGTGTGAGTTACTATTTAAGCATCGCTAAAACAGTCCTGTTAGCCCTCTCGGCGGCAGGATGCATCGGTGTGACTGGTGTTCACCACGCTCGGCCTCAAGGGCTCGCGGCTTGCTTTCTTCTCACGGGGATTCTGTGTGACCCTGTTTCAGGTGTATGATATGCCCCTACAATTGCAATGTAAAAAGCTTCCATTCATGCAACCAAGATACACCCCAGTGAATCCCTCTGGCAGAAAAAAACTAACTAAAGCCTCCTCAATGTCCTCCAGAGCTTGCCACCCCAGAGGGACTGACCGCTGCCAGCAGCTGTCATGCCACGGGAAGACCAGGGCACACTGCCTTGCAGCAGACTGAGGCTGCCCTGCTTATCTGAGGTGGTCAAACTTCTAAGGAGAAATGAAGTTCCCTGGAGTAGTCTCTGTGCCTTCAAGAGGGCAAAAGCCCTGGCCGGGTCCCACACATCAAAAGGTTGCAGGTTCGAACCCCAGTTGGGGTACATATGGGAGGCAACCAATCGATGTTTCTCTTTCACATAGATGTCTCCCTCTCTTTCTCAAAATCAAACATATCCTAGGGTGGAGATTAAAAAAAAAAAAGACGGTAAAATTGTGTCTTACAGACAAAGCACTATCACTTCCTAGGAGTGAAGCTAATGAATTCACGGAAAATCAAAATACAGTATTCTAGGAAGCTCAGCCAGGCAGGTAGCAGCTGAAAAAAAAAATTATGTAATGAAAGCTACTCTGACAAACTAACTCTTAAAAGTCTTCCAGTGTGTAGAAGCAGGGTTTTTGTTTGCATTAGTGTTAGGCAAACTGCAAAATCTGAAGGCAGGGACCCCAAAACTGTCCTTACTTCTGACATCACCTGAAAGTTCAAGGGGTTCCCCAAATCACCCTAAACCTTGACAATTCACTAAAAGGATCCACAGATCTCACAGAAAGCCACTGAACTCACAGTGATGACTTCTTATGAAAAATGATACAGAAAATCAACCAAGGGAAGAGATACACAGGCTGGAGCCTGGGAGGGTGCCCGAGGCAGTTTCCATCGTCCTCAGGATGCACTATCCCGGTATCACCAATGTGTGACAACAGGAGCGGAGGACCATCCACCAGAGCAGCTCACCTAACCTTCCGTGTCCAGAGTTCCATCTGGGCCTCTTTACACAACAGGCTTGTTCCACGGACTGCCCACGGGGCTGAATTCAGTCTCCTGTGAAAGCTCCCCAGAGGCTGGCCCAGCCCCAGATGGCTCAGGGGGCCCATCGTGACTAATAAGACACTTTTATCACCTGGCCAAGTCCAAGGTTTTCCAGGTTACCTCCCAGGAGCTGGGTCAAAGACCTTTCTGTCTTTGATAGGACCTGTCATCTAGTACTTCCAGTTCTTGTTTCTCATGCCTCCAATCTGTGGGAAAGGCTACAATTCTTTACCACACCAGATGAGGGTAGGATATAATAAACAGTATCTCACAGAGGTCAGGGAGATCATGCTGCTGAGGCTCTGCTGAGAAGGCTGCCGAGCCCAGGCTGCAGGTCCGTGCTGTCTTGGAAAAGGTAAGTCACAGGAATTGATTTCCGTGAGCCTCTCATTCCCAGAGGGCCGGCCCAGGCTCAGTGACACGGTGGCCGGGCAGGGCTTCCGAAGGGAGGTTCTTCTCACCGAAAGCCAGACTGACCTCTGCCTATGAAATCCGGCTTCCACAAACCTGTTAAACTCTCCCTTGCCCTTTCCTTCCAGGTGTTATGGACTGAATTGTGTCTCCCTGCCCCCTCATTCGTATGTTGGAGTCCTAACACATGGTACTTCAGAAAGTATATTTGGATGAAGGTAATTATGTTAAAAGGAAGTCAGCAGAATGGGTTCTAATCAGGTGTGCTTTATAAGAGAGGGAGGTTAGGAGACGTGCAGAGAGGGAAGCCATGTGAACACACGGAGGAAACGACCGTCCGTGTGCCAAGGAGAGAAGCCTCAGAAGAAACCAACCCTGCCGACACCCTGATCTTGAAGCTCCACCCTCCAGAACTGTGAGACAGTAAACCTCACTGTTCAAGCCACGCAGTCCGTGGTACTCTGTTACGGCAGCACTGGCACGCCCACTAAACAGCCCCTACGTCACGTCTGATCTTTCAGTGACTTCTCTGCACCCGTCTCTCTCCTCCCCTCCCTCACTTACAGCGCCTGTCATCCAGGACTTCCAGTGCTTGCTCTTCGTGCCTCCAGCCGAGCCTCGCACGCACTGTCAGACTGATACTCCTGAAGCAGCGCGGGAACCAGGGCACCCACCGGGTCAAATACCTTCCAAACACTTCCTGCTGGTGCAGACCAACCTCTTAGCCCAACAGCTAAGGAATGGCCCTGCTGACCTTTCCAACGTTACCCTGCTCTGGTCTCTCTGAGACAAACCATCGATCTTCACTAACCTGTCACCCACCAACTGCAGAGCACGATTTTTGTTCTGAATACTTTTCCTTTCCACCAAAACTCTTCCTCAGGCTTCATCTAAAATATCATCATTACGATGACTTCACAGATCATTCTAGTCAGAAATGACTTCCTTTGATTTATTTCAAATTTTAGTTATTTTTATAGCTATCATCTATACTGAAGAAACACCCATAGTGCCAAGTCAAAGGTTTTCATAGTATTGAGACAAAAAGCTTTAAAAAGTGTTGTTTTATCATTAGGGGAAAGATAAAAATAATAAAAACACATGTGTAGTGTACCTTCTAAAATGAAGTCCATATCCAATTCTACATCTACATCCTTAAGACAGCAGGGTAACCCATTAAAAGTGGGATGTGCCCCATTCTTAGAAGGTCGCTCCCTCCTGCCCCAAAGAGTGATTCTCTAACAAAGGATGGAGGATTTGTCTAAGGTTTAAATGTACTTCAAACCACCTTTAAACAAACATTTTTGATCAGTGTTAGAACAACCAGTTTCCGTCACCACACAAACTGCACTACAGCAGAAGGCAATAAAGTCCCGCCGTAGGGATTAATCACTTGTCAGATGCTCATAAACGTGCACCAGGGAGGCGGGCAGCGCCCAAGCCACCAAGCACCATATTGTTCAGACTGTAAGACGCACGCCAACAGCCCCCCAACCCCTTGGGAGGAATAATGGTTGTTAATGCTGCTGTTGAGTTCTGTGTACATTTACACTAGTGAAATATTATGTTATTTATGTTATTAAATATTTTACCACATTTTTTGCTTCAAAATTTTTTTCCTATTTTCCTCCTAGGTTTCCTCTAAAACCTAGGTGCGTCTTATGGTCAGAAAAATACAGTACTCTTTCACCTGAACCTGTCACACCACCGTTTTTTTTTTCCTGCCCTGCTAATTTGCACTCGTGCTACCTGCAGAAGTTACACAACAGAGCTATTCATACACTCAGGACAACTCTGAACACTGTCTTCCTACCTAATGTGGGAACTGGCGGCACAGGGGAAGCACAGGGCTGTGGGTCACAGACACTGCAGGCCACCAATCACAGTACATTCACTTAAACGTCGCAAGGGTTAAGAGAGGCAGCAATTTAACACCACCTTCACAATCCAGGGTGAGTTAAAGTCCGAGATTTAAATGCCTTCAAGGTACATGTGAAGAAAGGAAAACAGCCTGAACTTGAGAAAAGAGGACACCCTGGATTGGACATGCCCGTCATTTTATTATGCAAAAGTGAACAGTTTCTAAGTTTCTAGTAATCAAGTTACCAATTTAATATCACCTTCATAAACAAGGGCATCCTATCTTACATATTATTCCAAATGAAAATTCTATTATTATTGCTTTCTATTTTCCCCTTATTCACAAAACTGAGGTGTAACAAGCGTTCCCCAAATTCTTTTACTGCACATGTTGAATTCCACTGTAGCAGATAATGTGCAAACTTCTCAACCACAAAACCTATTTCCCAGTACTCCAGAGAGTTACACACCACACTGTCTCCTGTTCAAAAAGCAAGAAAGCTGTATTTTCATCTTGTCAAGGAGAGTCATTAGAATACTATTAGAAACTTACTTGAACTTTGCTTCCACCTCTTCAGCAGCTTTCTGGTATTGTTCGGTGGTGACTTTGTAGAACTCTGAGCTCTGTGGAGAAAGATTGACAGCAGAGTTTTCACTTTGCAAGAGGACGGCACGTGTGCAAGACGTACAGTGACAGAAACACACAAGCTCTTATTTCAGCCACTCAAGCAGTAGGACAAAGATTTCTCGCCCGAGTGGAATGGATTCTTGTAAAAATACATGTAAAAAGTATCTAGTTGTTGATATACAGGTTGAAATTACAGAGTAAACTTTCACAGTTATAATTCATCATTCTTTCAGACTTCTGATAAATTCCTCACATATTGTTGGAGGATTAGTCAGATCTCCCTGATTTGAAATCAATCCCTGTAAGATCAAAAGATGCTTGAGATCGAATAATGAAATTCACACACATCACATTTGCCTATTATTCCAGTGTTTCACCTAGGATATTAAAGGATTATTTCTTTTCACACTGTATTTTGTCTTCCAGACAGTTTCTTCATGGACTAGAATGTGTTCTATTGCCTGCACGTGACCATAAGGACATCGACATTTACAACAAATTGATGAGTAAGAACAAAGGGATGGAGTTACATAATTTTTATACCAAAAAATGTTTCACTACTACATGAATGAACACATAAGCAACATAAATTAAGTTGTAATAGCAAAGTAACGCCTTGCCTGGGTCAGCAAAATAAAAAATTATCCATTCTGGCTGGCTACTTTCAAACCTGTCTGCAGGGGGTGGCCTCCGTGACCCCATGAGCCTTCAGATGCAATGATACCTTGCAAAACGCATCACAGTACAAAGAGCACAACACGGCGGTCTATTGTGAGCCTTTCTCTCTAATCACTCAGGTTCCACATGCATGACTGGGGGTAGTTTATTTTTTCATAAATCATCGTTGGTTGGTGAGAAAATGAAAATGAAATCCTCTTCACACCAGTGACCCCTTCGCATTTAACAATCTGGGCTGGCCGATGACAGTCACATCCAGGTCTGGTGGATGCAGATAAAATCAATAGGTATGTGATTAGACAGCCGACTCAGGGTGGCTGGAGAATGGACAGGTCACCGTTTGAGATGATGAATGGCTCTCTATCAACCTGCAGTCCCCTCCGATGCTAACATTTACTATAATCTTATTTGGGCTGCGATTTATCTTTCTTGCACCTGATCAATAAAGATGAACAGAACAGTTGTAAGGATCGATTGTAATTTTTTATCATTTTCAAGCACAAAGGTGCATTTCTGACATGAAGACAATATTCTGAGTGTACTACTTCTGCATTTTTTAAAATTGCAATTTGAGCGCTCAGCCATACTAGTCTACATATTGAGAGGTTTAATTCATCTGTGGGTCTCAAGCTATCAAAAAGCCATTTGTTTTCTCAGATATTTTAACTTCAGGCTGTGCCACATCTTCCCATCAGGTCCACCTGTAAATCTGTCTTTCCCCTGAAATACCAGTCACGAGGGCTCTGTTGCCATGTTTGGTTTAAAGCTGTTCTCTGAACCCTTCTAACAAAGAGGGCAGTAAAAATGCACTTACTAATCACCACGAATGCCGGAGAGAAACACCCCATATTACTATGATGAACTGTCAAGTGAGTATTATGTTACTGAATTATCTGTTAAAATGCTGGCAGAGCCATAACGTCTTGATTAATACTTTCAATTATTTGAAGCACTGAAACGGTAATGTCTGGACCAAGCCGGCTTTCAACTAGGTTGAAAGACGCGGTTCTGTTCTGTGACCTTCCAGCAGGTCCTCTGACCTCCCCCACTTCCTGTCCCGTGTTCCTCGCCTGCGAAACAGGGGTGACACTAGACCTGCTTATGCCCGTCGCTATCGTAGAAATCAATTTGATGGGCAAGGAACCTGTGACATCTATGAAGTGTTTTTGCAGAGTAGAGCAACATCAAAATAAACTAATTTTAAAGAAAAAGAACTAATTTGGGCGATTCCATTCTGGATACAAATTCAAAATGATCAAAAACAAGTACTGAGCTTTCTAACAAGAATGATGAGCTTTCTAACAAAGGGAAGAGTTGTCCCACGACATAAACTGACTTCAGTTCCCCTCCCCTGGTGATGCCAAATGCAGGTGAAAGTATTGCTGATGCTGCCAAACTTCCCCTGGGATGTTGAATGCGAAATACCTGTTCCTGCACTGCCTACAAACTTAGCATATAATTTCTCAATTTACAGCTTTTGTCTTTATTTATATTCCATATTTCCACCTCGGTGGCTGGTTGCCCACCACGCATAAATCTTTCTAACAAAGAAAAGTCCCCAGGAGGCAAGACCATGTAACTAAGAGAATAAACATAAATATGCTAAAGACCTACTTACAGACCAAGTATAATTCATTTAAGTGTTTACTTATTTACTCAACAAAAACACATCCTTATCATCCCAATAACGTTCATCTTAGGGAATTAGATCCTCATGGAGCTTTCCATCTGATATGAAAGAAAAGAAAATTATAATGAAAGGCTTCACTTAAAAGCTGCGTGACTGGAGTTCAGGACAGCAGATCTCTTTTGGTCTCAGAAAATACTTTAAAAATGAAGAACCATTAAACACACATACATTCTCTGTCTCTCTGCTTGCCAGGAGCAGAGGAGAAATTCTGGGTATTCATACGGAGAAACGATATGCTGTGGTGAAAAAAGATAAAGTTAGACAAAAAAGTTGTGGGTATGATATAGAAGGGTGTAATTTAGGTCAAGTTTGGAAAAGCACAAAATAATGAAGCAGAATTAGCGAACAGAAATCCCAACAATTACCTCCAAACGGTGGCAGTCTGGTGTGGGAGGTGGAAGGGGGTGGGCGGGAAGTGCGCCCTGAAGAAGGGGCCGCAGGGGGGCTTCACTGCGCTGTCTGTTTCTTAAAGTGAGATGGACCCAGCACTAGTTCCGTGCACTGTAAATGTGTCACAGTACATACAAAAGTTGTACTCCGATCTCCCTTCTCCCCAAAGAATCCAATGAACAACAAACGACTCAGCGCGGCTAGAATATGCAAGCGTGTGTGTGGTGGGGATACATACTGAAGACATCGGTCAAGTTGGGGTTTTACGTATATTTGTAAATGCTAAGCTCTTGCAGAATGTCCACACATTTCCAAATCAAGTACTTTTTCTTCAGCTTTGTACTGTGAAATGATGTTAGGCTTGTGAAGTAATTTTCGGTTTACAGAAAAGGGGCAAACACAGCAGGTTCTTGTGTACACCCTTCACGCTCCCCTCACGTCAACATCTTAGATGGCCGGTCATACGACTGTCAAAGGCAGTCAGGTGACCGTGTTACAGCACGGGTAACGAGTAGTAGAGCAGCAGCAGATGACGCACGGTGCTTCTCTAAATCGGACTCAGAACACCCTGAACTCTGGTGTCACACGTGCACCCCGACGCTGTGGCACCCCTGCACGGAACACACTTGAAGGTAATAGAAATGACCTGATTTTCAGAAAGACCATTCTTGTTATCTGTTGTCTTGAGGTGGTAACAGGCTGTACTTGCTGCTCGTCTTACTAATTATAAATTACTGTTATGTTCATGTCATCATCATAACTAAGTGTGTTGGCATTTGGTCAACCCTGCAGTTTGCAGTAGTATACATTTACATTAATTATATTTGTCTGATTATTTTCTGATAGCCAAGTTTTAAGACCCATATGATCTATGCTTCAAATAAGTAATATTCACATTTCTACTTCCAAATAAGATGAAGATTATATGCAGGATCCAGCACAAATAACATCCCTTTTTTATTACAAAATCATAAGCATGTAATTCTGTAACAGAGTATCACACTAAAGCACACCATATGACATTTTAGGTGAAATGTTCCCATTACAGCTACAAATTATTACAACCATATTATAACCCTACCAACCACACTCAAGCAGGTGTTACTTCTGCCAGACCCTGTATGTTCACGCATATAAATATGGCCATACACAAAGCGATTACATGTATTTGTAATATTATAATCATTTGTAAACAAACTCCATATGTATCCCCTTCGAACTTTGTGGATAACACTATCTGAGTACACCAGCTGTGTGGGGTGTGAGACAAACCACCTGGTGAAATGACATGGAAAAGAAAAAACAAAAACAGGTGCAGAAAGGTGCCCACACCCCAACAAGGTGTCCTGCGAGTGCTCGCCGCACCGTGTGCAGCCACACTGCTCCTGGGCCTGCAAGGCCTCCGCAGCGTAAACTCCAAAACAGGTTCCCTCGCATCCATCCCACGGCTCCCTGCTCCGTCGTCATCAGGGAAAACACTGGACGTGACTCGCCCAGTGGTATGGATTTGTGGCAGGGAAATGTTATTCAAATCAAACAGTAAAACATTAATTTATTACTTTAGCCTTTCGAACAAGTTTTTATTGTTAGATATAAGCATAAGACATAACGTCCACCAAGATTTTCTTTGAGAAGGTAGGTCTTATAAATTCAAAGTATAGCGATAATATCTTTTAGATGTTTTAGCACTCTCAAAAATCTGATCAAGGCTTACCTTTTGCTAGGAAGTAAACCATCTCCACAATAACAACGTAATTCTAGATCTGGGAGATGTTTCTGTCACCGATATTAGGGGTCAAGGCCTCACTGGAAATGATAGACATTTTCATTTTCTATATTAAAACATCTTGCCATGTAAGGCACCAGGGGTCAATTACTAAAAACCCAAACTGAGTTGGGGAGACCGAGTGTTCCACTGTACACAGCTTTCACATACTTTGGTAACCTGTGACTATGTTATGTTGCCTGCGGCACACTGTACCTAGACGAGTGATTTTTCGCAGAAAGGCGTGGTGGCTAAGACCAGGGACCTCAGAGTCATACTGCCGAAGGACGGCCCCAGCCTTGTGGGATGAAACATGTTAGTTCGCCCCGGCGGCAGCCTCGCAGCTGTCCAAGGGGGAGAACAGGAACGACGACCTAATGGGAGTCTTTGGGGGGTTAAAAATGATAGTCCATGTAAGGTTCTTTGAACAGTCCCTGGAGTTATGTCCAGGGAAGCACTGCAGGAATGCTACT